TTCGATAAATAGTTTAATTGTCAATGGAAGTACATATTTAATGCTAAGATGCTAATTTAGTCATTCACAAGATGTATGAAAGTAATTTTAAACTTCGGCTTATCCACCTAAACAACGTTTACGCGTTTAGCCTTTCGAACAACCGTCCCCGAATGTTTTCAACCAAATATGAACGCATTTCTTGAGCCAGTGAAAACACGTTTACATTAGGTTATTCACAACATAGGGTATCATGTATCACATCTCAAAACTGGTATTTACATTTATAAACACTGCGTCGGTGTCTCTTCAGGATTTACTTCCAGTATTTAAGCCAATAAAATTGAAGAGACTATTCTAAAAGAGCTCATAATGATCTATAATTACGCATACAAGTGATACAACATCACTTGGTTACAAAAACACGATACATACAAGTAGCATCATTTGTGTAGTAATATATGATTTGTAAATCTGGTGTACGCATGCCCTCGCAACATTGTGCATAGATTATGTTGTGAAGAGGCACTCCTCGCGTATTAGGTCGAAGTTCAAATATAACATGATATAAGTTTACATTATTTTTGCAACGATATCTAAAGAAGAGAAAACAGCCTCACACAAGGATCGCAGTATTGTGACCCAAAAAGAAACATTGTATCACCAAACTGATTGTAATAACAAGGATAAATACGGGGAGACATGTCTACCATTGGTGAGCAAGCCGTTACCAGTTGGGTTGTGGATTATTGGCTGAAAAGAGTTCGGGTCTGTTCGTCCAAACCGCGAAGCTCAACCAAACACAAACCACAACTTCTTTAAAACCGTAGCCCGTCGGTCATGCGTTAAACGTTGTCCTATATAAATATGGGCATGAATTTGCACATGCAAATAATCTGTTGCCGAAACCGAAAGCCTTTTTATTGCATGAAATAGGGTAATATTGCGTTAAATCTTTACAAAATTCGATTCCCATTGTATATGAAACCTCGAATGTAAAACATCATATAGTATGGTTGTATGTTGACTGTACGAGATTTTAGCGAAAATCATCCCAGGCTTTCCAGAATGCTGTGACATCGATTTGTATGTCCCATATCCTTAGTTACAGTTGTGGCTTCTTGAGCAAATGTTATACAAAAATACTTTACGGTCACGAAATGTAGTCTGATATCTATAACCTAATATCGGGGCTATATTTAAACCGAGAAGATCAATACACGAGGATGATCTGAGCAACAGCATTTTTACAGACATTCGGTGTTATGAACTTGATCGCGTGGTCCCATTTGCAACAAGTGTATGCACAGTTATCGGCGTATACTAGCTAGCTGCTCTTTCTACGCCAAAATAATATTTTGTGAAATGACACTTACATCATCGTCGCCACCACGTCTTGATCGTCGATCTACAAGCAAGGAAATACATGTCAATATACGGTATTAAAATATTTCCTTCATACTATAAAAGTCGCGAAATTTAAACCTACCACTCATCTTTTAACAGTCTAAATGTCAAATGTCTTAACGTGGTGTTTTATTAAGGCAACTGTAACTGCTTTGTCAACGCAGAAATGATTGAAACACGAAGCGCTGGCTTGCTTAGCGATGCTAACGACGAACAGCAAAAGACAGGCCCAACCTTCGCACTACAAGCAAGAAAAATGACAAATAGCTTACGTTCCAACCCCTCAGATCCTGCTGTGGATTGAAGATTACTGTTTAATTTTCAACTCAATGTGTTTAGCACCGCCTACTGCGGTGCACAACATTACAATCGATTCTGTTACCATAATATAATCCCGTGCATGTACATTCACAAAAAAATACTTCAGACAAACAGTGTTACGACAAACAAAACGATTTTGGTATTTTATTTGAGAGTTTTAGTGCAAGAATATGGAAAAATTGGCAACATATATTCTTTGGTTGTTTGGTTTAGGCGTCAAACACAATGCTCCTGTAGACAATGCTTATCCGTAGAGCTCTTCACTGATTGGTTCATTTCACAATGTATTTCATAACATGTTGATATGGTCTGTCGCTCGCAAGCAAACTGTTTGAATAAACTTGACTAGATAATTCCTGTTATGGATTACTACATGAAATCAATGTTAAAATACCACAAAAGAACCATATAAGTATAGCCATTATCAATATGAAAAGCCGTGAAATGATTTCTGAGTCAGGAAATGCTAAATTTAGCCCACTTTTGAATCAGCTGGCAGTGGCAATTGATCCTGATAGCTTGGCGCTCAGGAAATTATCAGATGTACAACAACGACAGACATACTTCGTAATGTAATTATCGTTCTACCCGTTTTTTCTGTCGACCAGCTTAGGCAAGATTAACTGAAATATTTGTATTACCGAAATGCTTTGTTCATGTTTATAACTACGTATGCTAAAATTGTGAAATTTGGTATAAAAACTATGGTAAATATAACATGGTCTTGCTACCAACGCTGAAATGTTCCATAAATTTCCAATTATAAATCTGATGAATATCATTTGTAATATCATTCCGATACTCGCCCAATAAATAGATAATCCGAATATATATGAACACTATCACTTATTTATATATTTTTCATGTATTCTCCATCTTATGACCTTATGTAAGCTTATAAGAGCAATCATAATTAATTAATTATTCATTATATTTATCCTAATTTTTTACATCTAAAAACAGCGCTTTGGTCATGGTACTAAAAATAACATGGGTAATAGTTTTGACCATTAAAATACTACACTGGCATGGCCCATGAAGCCAAATTCTCGCGTGTCTGAGTTCCCGACACGCGTGCGGGAATTTTCAGCACAATGAGAATGCGTGGCAATGCCTGATGAAAATACACGCACTCCTTGGTGGAATTTGGAAATTAAAATTAGAATATTAATTATGCCTGCCGGATTTTGTTTCTAAGTGTAATTAAATACAACGCTTTGGTACAGTTATTGAAAATAGAATATTAATCCTGACTATTTAGTGAGGCTTAACCTTTTTTAAAGCAAACAGTTCCGATTAGTAATTACACCAGCAAATCAACACCAACCTCAGCAAAAACCTGCTCAAACCATTCACCTGCCGCCTATGCTCAACACAAATTTCGTGAACGTTAAAACAAGTTTAAACTTTGGACGTTTTTACAGTGATGATGATTGGATGTTGATGCGTATTGGCTCATGATCTAGTGCAACTGTGCAAACGAGTTTGTAGTTCAAAATTGTCTTCAATTAAAAAGTGATTATCTTGCAAATTTGTGCTTTCAAACTTTCTCACTCCCAGTCTCAGTCTCGAAAACAGTTAAACAGAGCCCGCGATCTCCCTGTAGATCGCGGGCTCTGGTTTTGAGATTGTCTCACCACTCCTTGGTTGTCTTCCCATTTTTTTGCATGTGTGTTTTGCCTGCACGGCCCACCAAATATATTATATAAGGGGTCCACTACTTAACTTTGGATAACAGAATGATGTTATTGTTTCCAGACTAGCCAGTAGGCACTGGCAGGTTATTCTAAGTAAAAAAAGAGTTGTCTCAATGTCCAGTTACCATAGTTACGAACACTAGACACAGCCAACGATGGAATCTTGTAAACAGCAAATCAGAGTATCGCTGTAACGATCGATGGAATTTCTTTAACCTTTCAATGGTTGCCTGGGTGCTGAACCGGAACAATTAAAATTGGTGCGGTAATAAAAGTTTGGCAAGCTAAATCTTCCCCGATCTATCCCTCAAAAATCGTCGCTATTTTGCTTTTGCTAAACGAAATACAATTCATTCAGTTCATCCCGAACGGACAAATTTCAGAATAAGCCCTGAAAATCCTGTCAAGTTAGGTTTATTACTTCTTAAATTTTCTTGCGTGAAAGAAATGAGCCGGATTTTTCGTTCGCTAATTAGAAAAGTATATTACAATAAAACGATCGAACAACTCAATGAATAGGCCAATCGAACACTTTTATTTACTCAGGGTAAAACCCTAAGTGAATAAAAAGGTTCGCTTAATTCTCGTGTTCTTAAAGTATTTTTATTATTTAAAAACAGGATAAATCATATTATTATGCATTACTAATGCAATCTCGATTGTGATTAGCTAAAAACCTACAAATAATTGTTGCCCGCTTCTTGCCATAACAAAATAAAGTGGTTTTTTTAATGTTTTTGTTCCTATATAACAAAACACTTAATGTACACTATCTCGGGAAATAATGAGTTTTGTTTTCCCTCAAGTCTCAATGTTTTTCTCGACTTCGTCTCGGGAAACATTCAGACTCTTGGGAAAAAAAACTCACTATTTCCCTCGGGAGCATACATTAAGTATATAATGTCTTGCCACCTACACGACATTGAAAACTATCCGTAGGTGACGTAATTTTTTGCCGCTGGTTTGTTGTCAATAATGGCGCAGGCTTCCTCTCTAAAAAGGAAATACATAATAAAACAATAATATTGAATTCGATTTTCGCATGATATCGAGAATTATCAAGCCTCAGTTTGCGTTATTCGCCTCAGCGAATAATGCAAACTTCGGCTTGATAATTCTCGATATCACACTCAACCTCATCCAATAATTGTCAATTATTTCTGAAGTGGACCACCTTAACTGATCAGCTTCGTCCAATGACTGGACTTTATTATGTAGTTATCATTCCATTGAGTTCACTAACAATTAGTGGAATTTGACATGTCACTTTACAAAGTTCACCAGACAATAAAACAAAACAATACCTAATTTACACACAATACAGGCAACACAGAGACTATCTCCAATAACAAGGTCGGAAATTTTTAACAACATCGTAGACAAATGCAATCAACTACGCGGAAATAAGTCCAACGTTATACGTCCTTTCCTCGTTAACTGGGAACTCAAAGGCCTCAAACAACCTTTTCGTTTTACCGTCGATATTCAGTGCTGTATCGCTTGCGCCATGCCCCCTTTTACAGCGGCGGAAAGAAGCCCATGCTGGCATGAAAATTTTATCTTTCTTAGTGGAAGCACAGAACGTTCGATCATTATTGTTCTCGCGCAGTATTAATCAGCATTTTACTAACCAAAATAAAGCCAGAAAGAGATGTTTTTGTCGAGCTATATATTTTACAAATTTTTAACATTTAAATTACTTTAAAGAAGGAGAATAACATATCCAGGTAAGCTATATGTATTCTATTTTCGTTTGATGCTTTAGATGGATTGATATGACTGCTAAAATATTGCTTTTATCAACGAGTCACTTTATTTGTCTCGTGTTACAGTGTATCTTATCACCAATATATTCTGTGAGATTTTCCTCAGCAGAAGTTGCAAGAATACTGCCCATTAGGAACCGTAGACAAACGCTAGTTTCGTCTAGAAATAGCGGACAATTGGCCGCAATATTTGAACCCCCTCCCCCCTCTATATAGCGCACCACCCTAATTTTGGTCATCACAAACGAGTAGGACAAGCTGTTCAGAATTTCTCCGCCGCCATTTTTGGTTTTAAAATACTGTGATCGGAAGTGCCGGCATGCCCTGACGGCCGGAGGAACGAACAAACATTCGCCCCAAAATTTAACACTTAACTCCTTAAAATTATTGATATATTGTAATAAATTTCCTGCACAAAGTTCCTTATTGCAAGTTTTGTGTGAATTTTAATAATCCAAGGTAGGACTGAGGCTCACTACCCCCTCAATTGGGCCAAATTCGCTATTTCCAGGCAAAACCTATATGTTGGTTGCTGAAATAGTCTATGACATGTAATATACTGAACATTTTGTACTTGAAGTATTTTAGTTTATCACAGTTTTTACAGAGATACAATTTCAGCTTAATTTTAAAGTTAATTATGACAGTTGTTTTCATTGAGGCAATATTCACTAAAATTAGGTTGCTTGCCCAAATGCCATTTCACACATACTCATCCAAAATCGAATTAGAATGGTATGATCCTCTAACAAAATCCAATCTAACTGTAAAATTATGATGTATATACACACTGCCTAAAAGTAATATCTGATACAATATTGACCATGCCTCAAACATCAATCAGCAGATGTATTTGTCTCAAAGTCCATGGTAATTTTTTAACAAACTGATCAATCATTGTTTGACTAGCTAGTGTACTAGTAAATTCATGAATGTGTGCAAGAACTTTCTTTATAATTAACTTACAGTAGGTATTTATAACGTACATTGGGTAAATAATGTTACATGCTCAGGACTGAGACATCTTGCCCCTGCACACAATATATTGCTTTGTATTTAGTTTTGTAGTTTTAGTTGTTGGTATTGTTTGTGACTTGTAATGTGATTAGTCTTAACAACTGCTCAGGACTATAAACCTCCATATTTAAATTTGTTGTCATGGCTGGGTTATACATGTATACCATTGGATTTGGTGGGTAAATCTTGTTACAAGCTGGAGAACTAAAAAACCCTGTGCCTGCAATGCAATGCTTTTTATTTAGACAGAAATATATCAGTCAGAGAGTGAGGAACTGAAATCATTGTAAATACCTCGACATGGTTCCATAAATGCGAATTTGTAAAGGCTAAAAACAAAATTGCAGTCCTTCTGCTCTATCACTTTCATTTGAATGTGGTGCAGCAACTACTAAAATAGACACAAAAAAGCCTCAAAAACATTTGTCAACTTATTTGGTTGACAACCAATTTTCAAATGAAATAATTGATTATGTATAACTCCAAGATTTGACTCAATCTGGTGTAATTGGTTGCCTAATTGCCTGTAGCAACCAGTCCCAAACAATGGTTATATGACTGATACATATGTGGTGCTTGTTAGCAATATCAGATCTGAATGCCATCTTCCTTAATTGTCATCCTAATTTTTATTGAAGCCTATAAATTGTCCATTTTACATGTATAATATTATAACAACATACAGTAACTGCTCATTAATTTCTGATACAAGATGTTAACACTTTTGTTTTATTTAAATTAAGTTAGCAAAAAACGAGGCCAAACAAAGAGCTAAAGCTATAAATTACCATTGCAGATAATCAACTGAAAGCAACTATGGCTCCTCCCGACTCAGGGACGCAGCGTCAGATACAGCGACAAAGACAAACAAGTACAGATGAAGTTATGGTTGAAACACCAGATATTGTGACCTTCTTCATTGCTGATAGAGTTAGGGAACAAGGACTTGTTGTACCAGAAGAAATGAGAGCCATTTCAGTCAATGGTGAAGTGGCGTCATGCTTAAGACAGGTTTATTAATTATAAGATTGTTTATCAACTACTGTAGTTTAGGCACCCAACCATTTATTAAACACTACCAGCACTGATGTTCTTCTATAGCTGAAGTACTGTACAGTTTCTAGTTGTGTAACACTTGGGAATTGATTTTTAATTGAAAGATAGACACTTGAACCTTCATGAAATGTCTGCAATGTCACGTAGTTTTGTGGTTTGCAGCAAAGCAAGCATGTTGTTGCTTGACTGACTCGCCACACTAGCCAATCAGAAACATTGATTGTCAAAAAAACAATGTGATGACTTGATCATCAAAATTTGATGATGAAGGTCTAACATGATCACAGTTTTCCAGCTCATCCTCAGTAAGTGCACTACAGATACGAACCTTAATCTGAAAATTCAAATAAATTATTTGACCAGTACTATATTACATTTTTCTATTATTTACTGTACTAATTGACCTAATCACTATTGTAAATATGATTTTGGCATGGCTATTCTCCGTACTCCAAATTCGCATGGCTATATTTTCCGTACTACTTGAGATTTTGCCGCGAAACTTGGCAATTACACTAATTTTGGTATGCGGTTTTTAGCTGTGGTTTTTTTTTCGTGTCACCTAGATCGTAAGTTCGTCTATTATGCAAAAGGTCACACCATGCAAATGATTGGCAGATAAACATTTGTGCTGATCCTCCAAAACCTTAATCTCCCTATTTTTAGTGCAAAGTTTCTTTGAAACTTTGAGTTTCTTTGAAACTTTGAGTTTCTTTGAAACTTTGCAGTATTGTGAGGAGTGGCGAAAATTCAGGCGAGTCAGTCAGTCATACTGTAAACTTTCCGGGGGGGGGGGTATATTCCATAAATAGACCTAAGAGGTTAGGAAGAAACGACGCTGTATTGTTTATGTATTGAAAGATTTCTTACCTGAATATATATTATGTCGATACCTGATATTCTGCATACAGTACTTAATTGATGCTATACAAAACGGACATTTTGTGCAGTAATCAAATCATTTTAGCGGTATACAGTATTGATAATATTGCTTTGTGTCGATTTACGTGCCACATCGTAGACGTAATATGCACGGTTTATTTACATTATTTATTACAGCGAAACTATTTTGGCTATTCTTTTGAAATGACGGATAAATTGTTGCCATCATATACATGTAGTTCATGTAGTCACAGTTGTTTCACGAAGAGGGGATACATGGTGTTTCTTGCCGAACCCTGTAATAATAATCTGAGAAAATAGCGCCCGCTTTCCATGAGCAACCAAAATTATGTAATAATGACAATATCGCGGCTCACGTACTTTGAGGACAAACATGTGGTTGCTTACATGCATTAGAGGGCATGGAAACTTCCTAGTGCACTATCCTTGGATCCCTAGTTTATTAAAACAGTCTGACTTATGACTTATTCTTGTAATTTTAAGGTTGGCGATGATTTAGAAAACAATCTCGAACTTAACAACCTTATTGGCCAAATAAAAGTCACGCCGCAGACCGCATTCGATACATTTGCGGACGTAGCAAATAAAATATTCGCTGATGGTGTGTACAACTGGGGACGTATAGTGACATTGCTGTACTTTGGCTTTAAATTGGCTTCGTCTGTCATCAGTCAGGTTCCGTTGCTCAAGCTTGTCGTTGATTGGGTCGTTAGATTCGTCAAGGAACGATTGGTCAATTGGATTGCGCAACAAGGGGGATGGGTAAGTTTTATTATCGTTCTTTGATTACAAGTTTTTGGTGAAAATCGAGCTTTGGATGCTTGTTTTCAATTTTGTTTCATATCGTGTTTAAATCCTGAATGTTTTTTTCCCTAATTATTAACTAATAATGCTCGAACTTCTGCCAGGGCTTTCACTGAGTCTGATCTTTACAAATTAATAAATGATGTAACTAAAGCCGTCACTATGAGCCTTTATATATCTACAATCGGTGACAAAATTGGGGTTTCGTCGTTGACTTAGGCTGTGGAATTTCTGGCCTTTCAGAGCAAGTGCTGCTCTATTCAACGAAAATCTAGCTGAAAGCTTAGTTCTGTACCAGTATGTCCCACCCTAGGCTCATTGAATTAACACGGTTTAAAATGTCCGCTTATCGACTTTGGAACAACGTAGGTAGACTATTGGATTGTTGGATTTACAAGCTACAGTGGGACAACATTAATGACTTGATCTTTCAGAACATTATTCTTTAACGTACTCCCAACATAGTTCATTGTTATGCGGTCTTTTAATTCACACGATCCAATTTTGTCGGCTCCTATTCACTTCTGTCGTCGATGGTTATAAAACAACAATAGACTATAAAACATCCATCAGAAGTGAAATGGATCTACATACGACGTCAACTTAATGACGTTTCACGGTTATCCTCGTTGTTTAGGATAGATTACATACTTTCACCTCCTGTATCAGCAACGAGATGCTGCGCAATTATTCAACATGACACCTTGCATTGGTGTATTGTAGTTTTACATTGTTGTCAATTATGTGCATATAGTCTTAGTCTTAGGTGGCGTCTTGCATGTAGCTTCTTCCATCATATCATTGCTTTGTGCCTTGTAAAATAAGCTATAGCCGTGGAGTAAAACTTACTACAATTACTATATGAAATTAAAACGATTCATAATTGAGGCACTGAATAGGGAGATTACGTTTAAGATCGCAACAACAGCTAAAATAGTCCGTTCTGAATATATAAGCAGTCCTTAATCCTGATTTCATTGCTTTTATTTCAATTGGCTCATATAGATACTGTAGGTTCCTAAAATAATATATCTATCAAATAAATAGTAAAAAATTCTGTCGTGAAATAATCTTGTCAAGTAACAGTCAATATATTCGACAGTGTGCTGATTTGTGTGTTATTATATACCTAGAGAGCCATCACAGACCATGTCATGGAAACAGCACGACAAGCATCCACGTATCAAGTAGTTGGTGTTGCTCTTGCTGGCATTGCAGTTTTCATGATGGTCCTTGGTCGAAAGTGATGCGATTGCTTATAATAATGTGGTAGAAAACTACCACGGACTAAGTTTCCGCATGTGGTCGTTGTGATCAAATCTACTTTCAATTTACTTAACATTGATATGAACCGAGTCGAACATGATGCATGAGTGCGTGCAATAATTTAACCACAGCCCGCTTTCACTAAGCGATTGAAATACTACTTGATGAAACTGTAGCTGTCAGTATCTTCATTGTTGTCAATTTGAACTCGACTTTTTGAAAATTATTAGTTTTTATTCACAACTCCTTCACATAGTGCACTGTCTATTGTTCACGTTACCATAACATCGTTTTTTTTTGCTGCCGAAATTTTATAAAAAGAATGGTGGGTAGGGACCCAGCCTGATCGCGGGTAGAATTATTCTCCTTACTTATTAGCTGCTTATAGCAGCAACGCTTTTTATTTCGATTGTTTAAACTCTAGCAATTACTCATAATTATATAACAATTTATGAGCTGGAGATTCGTTAATTGATAAGGGAGAAGGCGGAATGAATTATCATTATCAACTAACATTATCAACAATGAACTAACATTATCAACTGAGATATACAACTGGGACGAACATCCCTCAATTAGTGAAATTGGAAAGTTTGGTGGCGAAATATTGTAAAGTATTAAAAATATCAGCGTGTGAAGTTGACAAATTTGGTATAAATTAGTTTTACGTTCGAAAAAGCGTTGCCACTTTTCGAAGTTCGAAAAGTTTGCAAACTCACGCGACGATATTTCTGGTATTTTCAACACTAATTTTGGAATGCTCTTTCCAGCTGTATACCTCAGAACCGACGAATTTTCCTTGTTGGAGATTTACTAAAAAATCTCGTTTAATTTTTAAATTCTACTACGTCGTCAGCTAGGGTCGTGTCAGAGTTGTACGAGATTTCACAGTGAACAATGAAGTCACTGTCAGGTTTTTTGTTAGAAAATAACAAACACAACATAATGAATAGGCAACCCTTATTATATATAATTCTATTCAACTATATTTATAATACAAAGGTGTCTTAATTATTTGTACTTGAATTTGGAATGGCAGATTACACCCACTTGCCAAAAAGTTAACTGAAAATATGTCATGTAACAGGCAACAACTCACCACAATAGGTGTGAATATTTACAATTGGTCTGAATAATCACAATAGGTGTGAATATTTACAATTGATGTGAATATTTACAATTGGTGAGAATAATCACAATAGGTGTGCATGTTTACAATTGGTATGAATATTTACAATTGGTGTGAATATTTACAATCGGTGTGAATAATCACAATAGTCATTTATCAATTAGTTAAATTAGGCCGTGTTTACCATTAGTTTCTTTCTAAAATAATGAAAAACATTATTCACGTCCCAAATACATTTCTATCGCGGGAAGGAAGGTCTCGGTTCGAAAATACCCTCCATGAACCGTTTTACCAGAGGGTGTTGACCAAAGGGGATCGTATTATTGTTTGCACAGAAGGCACTGCGTGCAAAATTGATAGCGGAGTAAGACAAACCGGAATGATAGAGATCTGTGGGAAAGTCCACAATTTTAGTGGTCGGACGGTCAAAAAATTCACAACTTGAAGTACTACAAAATTGGCTCCATTTGTTTATGAATGTTTGGTATTGAGACTTGGTCCCTTTCCTCCAAGATGCCATACCGATTTCAGTGGATTTTTGTGACACACCTATTGTGGTGAGTTGTTGCCAGATACATGACATATTTTCAGTTCTAACTTTTTGCAAGGGATGTGATTCTGCTGGGGCAGCTGGAAGTTGCTGCAAGTTGAATGAGTGTCCATGATTGTCGGCGAATCAGAGGGGGTTGTATTAGAAGTGGTACAATGAGTGGATACCAGGGTTGACCAGTTGGCCAGTTTGGAATTACCAGGATGCGTGGCTTTTTCCTCTATGGGGCAATGGTTTGACGGAAGCCATGGTGACCAGTGATGGTGACTAGTTGACTAGCACCCAGGTCTCTGCGCTGTGAAATTCAATATGGCCGCCAAAATTGAAATTTGATTGTGAAAATTAGGCTTTAGTCTCTGTTACTTTCTTGGCGATCATGAGTTATAAAATAACGGATGAACAAATGGTTCCCAGTCAAATTACGTACTTGGGTGAAGAATGGTCTTTAGTTAGGTCATGTGGTGAAGGTACATTTTCAAAATGCTTTCAAATCCTTAACAAAAGTGGACAAAATCTAGCACTAAAAATTTACAAACCATGCAAGAGATTTGAATTCGCGTTTCAAAATGAAGTCGAAATATTATCGCTATGCAAGTCATACCAAAAATCAAATTTGTCGTCCTATATTGTGAGCTACGTTGATAGCTTCATTTCATCCGGAGGAAGGTGCATCCTCATGGATCTCCTAGGCTGTAGTTTGAAAGACCTACTAATCAAGCATCAGTCAACAAGATTCTCATTATTTCTGGTCAAGAAAATTATTCATGATTTGCTCTCTGCTGCTATGTTTTTAGAGGAAATGGGTATAGTACATGGTGATATTAAACCAAGTAATATTTTGTGGAATATGAACACAGAATGTTTTCAGTTGATTGACTTTAGTGTCAGCTTCAAATTAAGGCTCTCAAATAGAGTTCAACAACCTTTGCAAAGTATGGGGTATCAGGCACCAGAAGTTGTAGAGTGGAACAAGGTGATGAAAGGTATGTACTTTATTGTTGTACTAGGTTGATTTCAACTTAGTGCTGGGCAATGATGTCCACATTTGTTTCCTCCATGCTCAAAAACAAGGGTTTTTGCAATGCAAGGAAATTTGCTTGCAATCAGCAACCACAAGGGAGGCAGGGATTTGTGTTGATAGGATATATTATGCAGTAATTATTTTCAAAAATTTTTCCTTTCCCTTTTTTGTCCATACTATAATGCCCCGTATGAGGACAACCATATGAAAATAAGTTGTAGAAACCCTGCATGTGAATGTGTATTTTCATTGCAAGCCTCCATGTAGCCCTATACTTTTTTATCGGAGGTAGTATGTGCAGAAAATGGCATATGAATACTTAAAGTAGAACTTCTGTAGAAGTACCCAGACTGGAATGCTACCAAGACCATCAGCTTCCTTGCCAGCAACTTATCATCTTAAAATAAGTTCAAATAAAGTACTTATACACTGTACCATTATGGATAAGTATATTACAAAAAAACTAGCAAATGCCAATGGTAGAATCTGTTTTATGATATTTAATCATGCCATAAAGTATCAAACTTGTTCTGCCTCAACATGGTTAATAGAAATGGTCTGTAGTTATAGTTATTTTCTCTCAATGTTTAAAGTTCAGTGTTTATAAGTTTATGCAAATCGGGTCATAGCTGCACAAGTTAATAAATGCTTAAGAGAGATTAAGAAATATATTGTGAGTACTACAATAAAAATGCTTTTGATATTTCAGGTGCTACTGTCAGCAATGAGCAGGATCTTGATTCGTCAGTGGATATTTGGTCTATTGGATGTGTGCTTGTTTATGTTACCACTGGTCAACCTTTATATAGTAATGAACATGCATCTCAACTTCCTAGATTATGCACAAATTGTGAATTAAAATGTTCTCCCTGTGTCCATGCATTAAAATCAACAGAAATTATAACATCGATAAGAAATGAACTTCCTATTCACGAAAGGAATATTTTAACACATATCATTTCTGGATTTTTACAATGCCACTCTTACAATCGTTTATCTCCAGCCTACGTTCTCAATCATCCTTTTTTGTTGACAAGCCCCTCTCCAGATGCAAGCATAACAGATTTGCTATTACTTCCAACAAGGGTTCTCCGTCTTCTTAATATGTTTAATGAAACAAAATCCGAAGTCATTGAAGATATTTTATTGGATATCCGTGAAGAATGTGAGCGATTTGGTGAAGTTGTGTTAGTAAAAACAAGCAAAGTGAATAGCGATGGATATAATGTTTATGTTGAATATCAAAAGGCTGAGGATTGCTGTGAAGCGCAACATTTATTGACAGGAAGATATTTTGATAATAAATTTGTCGTTGCCACTTTCCTTCCACTGCAGCACTTTAGGGAGAATCGTTTCTATTAGAGAAATTATTTGTAAGATGTTTAAGCCTGTGATGGAAGACATTATTGACTGTTGTGTGAATATTGCCCGGAAATATTAAAGCAGAAGCACACATTTTAGGGTGTGGGGAGGTGTGACACCCCCACCCCATCTTTTACCAAATATGTCTTAAAAGTCGGTCTCAAAATGTGTATGGGGCATCAAAAAGACGGTCTGACTAAAATTTGAAATACGGTAACGTTTTGTATGGAAAACGGCGAACAGATGTGTCTTTTGTTTTGAGAATGGAAATTACATAAAACAACGAAAATTGTTTACAACTGTTTAGGTCAAACATAGATATTAATCATGTCATACTAGCACCGAAAAATAAACTTTCGTGCCGCAACAGTCAATCACAACTATCAGATTACACCTAGTCATCAAGGCAGCCTTGGAAATATTTAGTTCTCTTTCAAAAAATGTTTTGGGTTATTTATAGTTCAGGTAATGCAATATATATATTCGATATTGCAAAAATCTCACCCATAAAACGCGGGGGATCGCATTTTCTGCACTCTAAAATTTCAAAATTTTCTTGCGGGAGGACGCCCCTAACTTCCCTAACAGTGCTCTATAACAAGGGGAAATTTCGTTTTAGACCAATCTGCAAGTTTTTTGACATTTTCAGTAACCCAATCAGAATGCATAAATTTTTATAAAAAGTACAATATTTATAATTTTATATGAAGTATTATAAATTTAGGCGTTCTGATTGGCTTTGCCTACACGCGTAAAAATGATGCAAGTTGTTAAAAACAGGAGCTAGTGAATAATGTTGTGCTGCACCCTGTGAACAGTATTGTTAACAATGTTGTTGCAACTTGTTACAACAACATTGCATCGTGATTGCAACAAGATTGATGATTCAACAAGGTTCAACAACATTGTTAACAATACTGTTCCCCGTCAGGATGTCCCATAGCCTAGGTGTCTTAGATATTAATGTATAATATCTATTCGGGATCGCCTTTTCATGTAAAAGCGGACTTGCCAGTTCAACGTGTTTATGTCAGGATGTAAACACTTCTGGACCCTGAAAAATTTCTTACTTCGGCAGAGCATTTGGAATAAAACACAAAGTAATTTTGGACAAATTACCATGCAATATTTACGAAGCAACATTAACCCCCACTGATCATGGATAAACATTCTTAATTAGACTCTACGCATGTTGAACCATATGGTTAATAATTCATAATTAATGATAATGATTAATATATATTAATTATTATGGCAGGCGCAATTGTCGCACACTAGGGAGAAAAGCATTTTAATTAAAACATTGCCACCGATGTGCGAATTTCATGACTGGACCCTTCGAATTCAAAGTTTCCTACTTTGGCAGATGAATAAATAGAATAGGCAATGGAATTAAGCCGATATATATCGAAATACCAACCTCATCTAGCATAAAGGTCAAATCAGTTATGGTACTATAGCGCGTGCTTTGGTTCGAAAACTTTTTTACGTGCATTCGTAAAAATAGAGGGAGGGGAGTTCTAACGCTGCGCGGTCATGGTTATGTCATGAGTATGCTTTGCATGGCTGGTTAATAATCCAAATACAAGAAGGTAATTTTTAATTACTTAATTACTTACAATTTTAGACATTGACGAATGTTTGTATGTATCTGCCAAAGTATGTCACACAAATGCAAGTTGTATTAATACGAATGGTTCATACAACTGCACGTGTATCACTGGGTATTCAGGAAACGGAAAGAATTGTTCTGGTAAAAAATTGGGTTAGCAGCAATTGATGAACTTTTCATGGTTAAGATATATGCTTGTACTTTCTGAAATATTTACAATTTTAGACATTAACGAATGTTCAAATGTATCTGCCAAAGTAAAGTCACACAAATGCAAGTGGCAACACTACGAATTAATGGTTCATACAACTGCACGTGTCTCTCTGGATATTCAGGAAACGGAACGAACTGCACAGGTAAACAATCGGGGTTTTTTGGCGACCATGCATTATTGATATATGTCAAGCTTTTTATCGTTTATATTTGCGTTTCTGACTAACTCACAATTTTAGACATGGACGAATGTTCTAATGTATCAACTAGTGTGACAAAAACGAAATATGTACAAACAATTGTTCGTTCAGCTGCACCTGTTCATTTTGATATGCAGGAAGAACTACACAGGTTTTGCTAAATGAGATTTCATACTCCCAACTAGCTTGAGCTTGCTGCAGTCTCACAAAATTATAGTAACAAAAATAAATGAAAATAATAGAAAGAAAAAATGGTTCCTTATAATTATTCATTATTCTAGACATTCACGGATGTTCCAAGTTCCAATGCATGTTGCAATGAGTGTCACACAAATGCGAATTGTATGATATAATACGAATGGTACCACTGCACCTGTCTTACTGGATATGAAGGAAATGGGAAGAATTACACAGGTAGCTATCTGACACTATAAACGCCTGTGAAATTGCATCATGGTTGAAAATTCTGTATTATATTGAAAACATTGACATGTCAAATAGTCTTTACCGCCGTGGAAGCTATCAAGTGCAGTGGGGGGGAGAAGGGGTACAAGCAGCAGTTTTAATGGATATCAAGAAAGTATGTTTGTTTGAAAAATTATCAAAATGACACGAAAGATGCTACCTAAATTTTCGGTCTGAGATGACACAAAATGCCTTTTGAATATCTTACATCTTCAGTCGGGTACGTACCCAAAAACATGCGGTGAGCTTTTGTTATACCTACCCAGACACATGTACGTGTTTCATCTGTTAGGGGCTGTTTACATGAGCTCGGTTACCCGAGATTCAACGAAGCGTGAGGGGAATTTGAGGTATTGAAATAAATCTTTATGTAACCAAACAAGTACATGCTATTGTTGTGGGGATTATACGACTGCCAGGATCATGTTATCTGCTCATGTCAATATCTCAAAATCATCTCATGCCTCGTTGAATCTTGGGTAACCGGGCTCATGTAACCGAGCCCTTAAACTGTATGGTCAAACGCGCATAGATTTATCTCCACAAACAAAAGAACAAAATTAATTATCAAAACATGAATTCTTTTAACGAATAAATTTGTTTTGTATTTTTCTGTTTAATAAAGGTTGTAAGCAGAATGTTATAAAGAAATATTTGTATTATATTTACCGGCAGCTTAATTTGTTCCGAATGCAAAAGCTGCGCCTATAGATCTCGAAAACGGTAAATGTCAAAGCTATATATCTTTTAAACCATTCTGCTGAAGATGAATCGATCTTGATTCGAAATATACAGAATAAATTTTGTATTATGCTATCATTTTTCGGAATAACTTAAATTCTATATGTGCTAAAACTATCAGCTGGTAAGGGATTATATATCTTTTATTTTTATTTTGATTGCATTGTAAATGGGCCTACGTTTGGTGGTAGTTATATCACTTGTTCACTTCCAATGATGACAGAAGAGTAGTTTTATATATCTTCTACCTATACTTTTAAAAACCACTAAACCAGTCATTTTAGCCTTTTCTTCAAAAAATGATTTTCACCTGTCGAATGATTTTTTAACGTTATTCACTTTGCAAAACATATGAATAACTAATATTATTTATCCAATATATCAAATCGCACGTCTTTAATATTTGCCAAATATTAGTATTAATACCACTATACCAAGGAAACCAAGGGAAAATTCTTGTTTTGTGGAAAATCAGTGGTGATTGCCGGCCCTTATTCTTTTTTCTTCCACAGACAGCTTTTATAAAGGCCTATTAATTTTAGACTACACGATAAGTTGTATGCAATTATCATTCTGACGGATGCAAAAGAGGGCCTATGCCACAATCTTCATGCATATTGTGCAGGATGGAATTTAAACCGTCATGTTTGTACCTGTGTTCATACGTTCACATACTCCAGGGTACGAATCTGATGGCCTTAACATATGCCCCGTTTTTGAAGTATTGCAGCACGGGCCTTAATTAAAAACTGTGACATAAATTATTCAATTAACTTTTGCGTTTTCTATTAGCTAGCACAAAGTCGTCCGCCCCTACCTATTAGTTTAACTGCGCGTGTTATGTTTATAGTAATTAAGAAAAATTTTCATTAAATGCAGCTCATCTCATATCTTACGATCCATTCCTATTTGTCTTCATTCCATGCCATGCATTTCGGTGAAAAAATATTATTATTGAGTAAGAGATTTGAATGATGTATCTATCAGCAACTTTTGTCTTGTTTTTGCTTGACATTGGAAACATTTTCGCAAACCGATGTTCCCCGAAAAATTACAACATAATCATAAGAGGTGAGTCAACTTCGGATGTGACAATGTGGTACGTTTCCTCAGCGTAAAATATCGTATTACTCCGTTTTATATACTTCATGCATGTGATAGGCTTAGTTTGCAATCATACGCTTTTTTGATAGGAACTTTTTTTGCAAATTTTGCTTAATAAGTTGAATTTTTAGATGGTCCATCATTGCCCGCTGATGAGATAATATCAAGACACAATATTACATCTTTACATGTCATGTTGGGATGTCACACTCACTGCCAAGACGAAGAAAAATGTGTTGGATTCAACTACAGAACAACAAAGAATGTCGAAAATTGTCAACTGACAAACGTTACTAAAGAGAGAGAAAAAACCAAGACAGGAGATTGGATGCTGATGCTTGATGTTGAAGCGGTAGGATAATGTTATGATGTTCGATATTGATTGCAACGGCAATAAATAGGCCGAATGATTGCGTAGGTATACAAATTACGAATAATATAATAATTATACACGGGCACTGGCGGTTACAACTTATTGAACATCATCGATAGGATAGATTTGGCCGTTTCTTCACAATCACCTATTGATTCAAATTTGTACATTGGGAAAATGCATAAATGGTTTTTCTTTTGCTAATTTATAGTTGTAAATTTATCTGGAATTGACCAGGCGACACAGTTGTTGTTCTCATTCACGATTCTATAGCCAACTAAGCAATATAGAAATAGACAAAAAATAAGTGCAGTAAGGAAAATCCATCCTACCAAATATTCACGGGGTAAAATAAAAGAGAAACCAACTTTATAGTAACTGAAATTATCTCCTAAATACCCGGTACCATATATCCATTAGGTTAAGGTTATACCTACCCAGTATTTGTTTGTCATAACAGAATAATTTTTTGCACTATGGATATCAATATCACTTTTTTGGCTGTTTCCAATAATAGTATTATCGCTTTTCAAGCATTTGGAACGGTTGAAAAATCACTATCCGGTGGATAGCGCTATTCGGCTTCATGCAATTTATTGGCACGGCACGGCTAAAATAGGTACCCGTGTCAATTTAATTAGTGTTCAGGCTAGCAAACCAAATGCTACGCACGCGAACATTAATTTTAGCCAATAAATTGACGCAGTGAAAACGGGGTGAAAAATGTTTGAAGGATTGAAGTAAGATGCCCATAAAAATTTGCCAATAGTTGCTATTTACTAAAATACTATCGTATATTACCGTGTAATGTTGACTATATCGATCTTGTTAAAAGGGTGTACGGTAATCTAGACCGTGTATAGTAATTTAGGCCTATTTCTTTTAGAAAAAAAATGAAGAAGAAAAGGGAAAAACTGTCGACGGAAATTCTGGTATTTCTTTTAAAAATTATTACAGACATTGTGCTAGAAATTGCTGTAATTTAATATTTGTAATATGCATGTCAATTTGGACCAGCAAACAGTATTTTCTTTCTATAATTTAGACGGTGAAGAATGTCCCATTAAATCTTCCAATTTTTGTCATAAAAATGCAATATGCGCCAACATCAACGGTTCACACAACTGCAGCTGCCTCCCTGGATATGCTGGAGATGGAAAAAATTGCACTGGTAAAATTAATTTATAGGAATTTTTAGTGAAATTGGAAAAATAACATAGCACATACATTATTAGATGGGTGTTGTACCGGAAACTAACATTTGCACACTTATATTTTCCATATTTCACTTTTGAAATCTATATAATGGGTGTGTTTTCTAGCGCGACCGTCGCGAGTTTTCCCGCTTTGTTTTATTCTGGTCAACAATGGCAGCTCGAGTTTTTTGGGTTTCCTTTAATTCATTACATTATCCCGAGGATGTGATATTTCAAAGAAATTTCCGGAAAGTCTTTCTAAAATATACATATATTGTATTTAAGAATGACAATCACAGTAACATCTAATGCTTTTCTATGATTGTATTACCCCTATTTTGAAATTCAGTTTTCATATATATAAGGAAATTAACTCGCGATGGAACAACTAAATCAACCTTCTATACGCTAAAGAAGGATCATGACTCGAATTTACTTATTATAATTATTTTTAGACATTGCATGACAAATATTATTTTAGAGCTACAATACAGCCCCGGTTCCGACGGGCCAGCTAATAATCCTTCAATATTGTATATTATAGCCCATGAATTGGATTCAGTCATAATGGCCGCCGAGTCACCGGAATTTACAAAAACTTTGGCAGAATGGTTGCCGGTGACAGGAAATTGGAGTGTTTGCTGGCGGGCGACAAGAGACGGGAATAAAAGTGAAATATTTCATGATAGATGCGACTCAAAAGTCCCGACATTGACAGTTGTAAAAGTGTTAAAAGATAACAAGAGTTTTATCTTTGGAGGATTCGCGACAGTTAAATGGGAAGTAACATATGGGACTTATGTATCTGCTCCCGGTTCCTTATTGTTTTCGTTTCGCAATAATGATGATCTCCCGCCTTTCACGTTGCCTAAGATAAGTCCGAATAACCCATTTGGAATTCAACCACACCAGAAATGTGGGCCTAGGTTTGGGGGTGGACCTGATCTTAGCATTGTTGACGGGCATCTTTCTGACAATAGAATAGTTAACGTCGCAAATATCGGTTACACATATCAAGCTCCCCCTGGATATGCCAAAAGTAAAAGCAAGACACAATCTCTCCTTGCTGGCAGCCTCTATTTTACACCAGTTGAAGTGGAAGTGTTATATTTACCGTGAATTTATGCCGCGTGATAATTATAATATCTTAATTGCCATTGATTATATAATTTATGCCCGCATAAAGAACAAGCCAGAAGACGTAGTTTACAACGAACGATGTATTATACTTTATTTATGCTTTATGACTAACCAGCTGATCTGAGATCATGACGTCATAAGGCGTCACGACAAAACTGAGTTATCATACGCCTGGTTTTATTTGTTCTTATTCTTCTAACTAATAGTATAAAAGACGAAAAATTTAAATTCTAATTTAAAGTTGGGAAAAAATAAGCATGTTTTCGCCTAAATATAGTAAAATTACTTGATATTTTCGAGTGTCGAAGTCATATGCAATGAAGGAAAAGATAATTCACTTTCGTCGAAGATCTGGTTTCTGATTGGTTGATCTTTATACCCAGATCAGCTGGAAGTTTAGTCATATAGAGAGGCTAGTTCTCCTATATTTAGACTCGAGAGCCGCTTCTTCGGAGCGAGCTCCACTTCTGTTTTCTATTTTCTATTTTCTATTTTCTAATGATTTTTCATATTTTAAACAAAACAAACAACTATATAATATTAAACAAGTATACACAAAACTGTCATAGGATTTATTTGTGATACATTTCTGGTGTGTTTAACATTTTTATAGTGAAGTATATAGAGCGCTTTATTAATGATTTTGTCTAGGTCTTAAATTTTAAAGTTGCGCCGAGGATAGAAAGTTCCCGTGTTTCTAGAAATCAGTGAACTGAAATAAGACTGGAATGCTCACTCTGTCGGATGTTTGAAGCCAAGATGGCGGACACTGAAGCCTTTTGCGTATGATCCAGGCCTCAACGCGGAAATTTAGTAGATAAAATGGCGGCAATTCTTATTTTTCCTTGAAATTTCCGCACTAGAGGCCTGGATCATACCTACAAGAAAGGCTTCATGATCTGCCATCTTGGCTTCACTCATTAATGAGGGGAAGTTGGAGGGTGAGCGTTCCAGTCTTATTGATTTCACTGCTAGAAACACGCTTCTCGGCCAATGAAAACGCCTAAGTATACTAGGGGTAAAATACAAATGGTAAAATTATGTATATACTATTACAATTAAAAATCGATTAGAGTTCATGCTTTCCATATTCATAAACCAATTATGTAGTAGACAGATTAGTGCCAGAACAGCTGGTGAACATGCATGCAGGCCACTAAATTTTGAATCACTAATTTTCCCTTCAACATCGGCTACATGCAGAATCCATTCTACACCGCATGAGATTATTGCCCTTTTGAAATCATAACAGTAAATGAAATTGGTCCTAAACCTTCTAACCTAGAACATGGAGGAATCTTGGGGATCGAGGCTGCACATATTTGATGTTTTCCAAGCGTATGGGGATTTCCTAGAAGGAAGCGAATGGTTAAAACATGTTTCACAACTATTCGTAGTTTCCTGACAAGGCTCTCAAAAGATATTTGAGAGATATTTCTGATACTTCCGGATAGCTCTTGATTAAATTCTTAATAATTTCTGTCGCCCCTAACTATTTTTACCACGGCCATGAAAGCTTGGTACATAAAAGTACATTGCTAAATTCAGTTTATATACACACTCCGGAGTTTAAATAAATTCAAGTTATGCATATTTTGTTGCCTCCTTGGTTTTCACACAAATAGCGGAAAAATTCTTATTATTTTTTTTTAAAGCAGTATATAGTTATATAGTCCTGAGAGTTGGCTAAGCCGCCACTACCGCCTCCTAGTTACTAGGGTAACTATAATTAGAATGCTCGAAAGCCATTTTTTATTTCTGAAATTACTCTAAACTTAAAGATGAAGAGTTCATTTTATATTAGATTTCCTACCTTAAATATCATTTAAACAATTTTAAGCCATTTTATTAGGCTAGCTCCTTTTCAGCCAAGGTGTTGACACGAAAAAGTACAAAATACTGAATTGTTTTTCTTTGGATGCCAGTTCTAACAAAAAAATAATCAGTATTTCATTCTAAAAAAAAAACTAGAAACATTGCATTCTAGAAACGAAGTTGCATCCTACAAGAACTTGTGCGAAAGGTGACTGTTAACAAATTTATCGTCAAAAGCATTTATCAATTAAATTGAGCAACAGCAGTCTTGTGTATTTTTTTGTTTAATAAAGGTTGTAAACAGAATGTTAAGAAATATTTGATGGTGGATGGATATAAATCAGCCCCAGGCTTTCAAGCCTCCGTTGCAGTCCCCTAATTTTGCAATATGCCGTTACATAAATAAAATATGCCGTTACGTAAATAGGCCTACATTTGGAGGTGGTTAAATATTACTTGTTCATTTTCAATGATGCAAAATATGCATAAGATATTTATACAGTTGCAAGATGATATAGATTTTATCTTCGAGTGGCAAAACTGACAATATTTTAAAAAAATATTAATGTGAATTTACCTCAACACATTAGTAGCAATAAACACGATGTAGTTAGAAAGCTGGTCGTCTGAATAAAACGGGGAATGGATCGGCATTGGATCGTACAGCGGGTTAACGCACAGTGTCGTAAGGGTTCAAGTCCGGAAATCATAAAAGGCTTCATTTTGCAAACAAACAAGATAAATAAATGAAATGTTGAGCCTGAAAATTTCAAAGTGTGGAAGACGTTCAAAGTGAATGTAAAATTCACACGACACATATTTTCTTCCTTAAATTATATGACGTCTCTGTGCGTCATCGCTATATATGATCTAACAACGTGGAGAAGAGTAGTTTTATATATCTTCTACCAACACTTTTAAAAACCAGTCCTTTTAGCCTTTTCTTAAAACGATGATTTTCACCTGTCGATGATTTTTTAACGTAACGTATTTTTTATTTATTCACTTGGCAAAACATATTAATAACTAATATTATTTATTCAATATATCAAATCGCACGTCTTTAATATACTTGCCAAATATTAGTATTAATACCACTATCAAGGAAACTAAGGGGAAATTCTTGTTTTGTGGAAAATCAGGGGTGATTGCCGGCCTTTATTCTTTATTCTTTCACTTTCAGTTTTTATAACATATGTCCCGTTTTTGAAATATTGCAGCACGGGCCTTAATTAAAAATTGTGACATAAATTATTCAATTAACTCTTGCGTTTTCTATTAGCTAGCACAAAGTCGTCCACCCCTACCTATTAGTTTAACTGCGTGTTATGTTTATAGTAATTAAGAAAATTTTTTATTAAATGCAGCTTATCTCATATCTTACGATCCATTCCTATTTGTCTTCATTCCATGCCATGCATTTCGGTGAAAAAATATTATTATATTGAGTCAGAGATTTGAATGATGTACTATCTATCAGCAACTTTTGTCTTGTTTTTGCTTGATTTTGGAAACATTTTTGCAAACCAATGTTCCCCGAAAAATTACGACATAATCATAAGAGGTGAGTCATCTTCGGATGTGACAGTGTGGTGCGTTTGCTCAGTGTAAAATATCGTATTACTCCGTTTTATATACTTCATGCATGTAATAGGCATAGCTTGCAATCATACGCTTTTTTCATATGAACGTTTTTACAAATTTTGCTAAATAAGTTGAATTTTTAGATGGTCCATCGCTACCCGCTGATGAGATAATATCAAGACACAATATTACATCTCCAGATGTTATGTTAGGATGTCACACTCACTGCAAAGACGAAGAGAAATGTGTTGGATTCAACTACAGAACAACAATGAATGTCGAAAATTGTCAACTGACAAACGTCACTAAAGAGAGAGAAAAAACCAAGACAGGAGATTGGATACTAATGCTTGATGTTGAAGCGGTAGGATAATGTTATGATGATCGACATTGCAACGGCAATAAATAGGCCGCATGATTGCGTAGTTATAAATTACGAATAATATAATAATTATACACGGGCACTGGCGGTTATTAAATACAACTTATTGAACATCATAATAGTGTATATTTGGCAGTTTCAGTTCTTCACAATTGAGGCAAATCACCTAATGATTCAAATTTGTGCATGGGGAAAATGCATAAATGGTTTTTCTTTTGCGAGTTTATCGTTGTAAATTTATCTGAAAGTGACCAGGCGACACAGTTGTCGTTGTCATTCACGATTCGATCTATAGCCAACTAAGCAATAGAGAAATGGACAAAAATAATTGTAGTAAGGAAAATCCATCCTACCAAAATGCTCACGGAGTAAAATAAAAGAGAAACCAACTTTATGTCAGTAACTGAAATTATCTATCCTATACCTATACTACCAGTATTTGTTTGTCACAATAGAATAATTTTTGAGTAGTGTTCAGGCTATCAAACCAAAGGCTAGGCACCATAAAATGGCACGGATACTCATTTTAGCTGATAAATTGACTTAGTGAAAACGGGGTGAAAAATGTTTGAAGGATTGAAGAAAGAAATTCCATAAAAATTTGCCATAGTCGCCATATACTAAAATACTATCGTATATTACCGTATTATATTGACTATATCATTATTGTTAAAAGGGTGTACGGTAATCTAGACCGTGTATAGTAATCTAGGCCTATTTCCTTTAGAAAAAAAATGAAGATGAAAAGGGTAAAACTGTCGACGGGAATTCTGGTATTGCTTTCAAAAATTATTACTGATATAGTGCTAGAAATTGATGTAATTTATAATCCATAGCCCGTATTTGTAATATGCATGTCAATTTGGGCCAGGAAACAGTATTTTCTTTCTATAATTTAGACGTTGCCGAATGTCCCATTCAATCTTCCATTTTTTGTCATAAAAATGCAATATGCGCCAACATCAACGGTTCACACAACTGCAGCTGCCTCCCTGGGTATGCAGGAGATGGAAAAAATTGTGCTGGTATATATATTAGCATTTTTTTTGTTAAAATTGGAAAAATAACAAAGTACATAAATCATATTATTAGATGGACATGGGCATGTTGTACCGGAAACTAAAACTTAAGGCTAGTTTCCACTCAGGAAAATTCTACTTCGCATCGGACAGGACAGGAAAGTTTCCTTTGTATAAAC